ATATATCCATATATGTTCCTGACTTTCCAGTAATCAGACTACACACGATACATTAATAGAAGGACATTTTATTTTTATAAAACATTCTTACATAATGACCAACAACTTTTTTATATTCACTCTGGATTTCCATATGGGAACTATGGCACTGCACGTGTATAGTATCCACCAATAAAATCAGAGTAAAAACTGTTCATAAGTCAATAAAACATTTCCTACCCCTTAAATAATTGTATCAAACTCTATTATAATCACAGCGCTCAAATAAATGCATACAAAGACACATTAGAAAATAATGTAATAAATGTAATAATAATGTTTTTTAAACCCTCAATATCAGTAATTATTATGTGCATGTATTTTGATATTTACCAGTTTTATATCTAAATTTATGTTATGTTATGTTATGTCTTATTGTTTACAAAGTAAATTTTTCAAAGCTATTTTTTTTCCTATTTAAATGAATACGACTTGCAAAGAACACATCAGAAATTATTATTATGTTTTTAATCCTGCCATAAAATGTTTGTGGCTCATATAATACAAATCATACAATTAATATTTTAAATACATCATCTGTAAACTGTTCAGTATTTCCAGGTTTGCAGTGGAAATCATAAACAGACAATAATTTGGTGAATTACTTTGAATTACTTTTACTTTCAAACGGAGAAGATTAATGTCCTTTTTTTTCCCCGTGTCCCGTTTGGATCTTTAGCCTTCAGAATTGTTGTCTTAAGGCCAAGAAAGATGCCAAGCGGATTTATTTTACCAAGTGGATCATCATGGCCTTGCCATATTGGTCCATTCGATTTTATGAGAGCACCACCTGCTGGGCACAATAGTAAAAACACTCCTAGTGTAAAAATATGGCTCCAATAATAAACACTAATGTTGGTGTCTTGCTGACACTGCTGCCTTTCCAGAGCCTAAAAATTAAAAATGACAGATTTCAGCAGTCTTCTTCATTGCAGCAAAACAACAAACAAAAGTGGTGCTCTCTCTGTCACTCGCTCTCTGGTCTGAGGCAACTGTAGGTCCTTTGTGATGATCCATGTTTTATTTTATGTTCACTTTCAAACACTGGTATGAAACTCATGTGTTCTTCTCTGTTTTACTGCTGCACTGTTTAAAGTCATCAGGCTATGATGCATTTATGTTTTTGTTTATATTTGTTAATTTTTTCTTCATGCTTTTTCTGCATTTCCTCCCATTCTTTCTTTAGTCTTTCTTCTTTGTCACTGGAGACCTTGTGCAAATGAGAATACTCATGTTTGTGTTTCTCATGCTTTTGCATTAACATCTTATATGTTTCCTTCAGATCCCTTATCTCCTCATTATATTTCTCTATCAGAGATTCAAAGTCACTGGTGTATTTCTCTTTGAAGTCATTGAGCTCTTCAGCTTGATTTCTGGCCTCGTCTTCATATTTCTGCTTCATTTGTTTCATTCTTTTCTTGTTGTCATTTTCTAATACTCTTCTTTTTCCTTCCTCCTGTTCTATTCTGACACAGTCATCTTTTATTCTTCTGTAATAATCTTCTTTTTCCTTTTCATATTTTTCTGTCAGCTTTTTGATTTTCTTATCTTCTGCTTCTCGTCTCTGTTTACTTTCTTGATACCTATTGTCCCACCATTCTTTCCTTTCCATCTCCCAGGCCTCTCTCTCTCTTCTCATTTCTGCTCTGTTTTGCTCCAGCTCTCTGATGAGCTCTTCCTTTGATTCTGATTCTATTTGGTTTTCCAAAGTTTCCAGTTTTAGTTTCCATTGTTGTTGTTGAGTTTCTTCCTGTTCTTTCCTCTTTCTGTTTTCATCTTCTCTGATTTTCTGTTCTCTCTCTCTCTCTTCTCGCTCCTGGTTAATGCGTTCCTCCATCTGCTTGAGTTTTTTCAAGCTCTGCTCTTTCTCAGATTCAAATTTAGAGATCTGTTCTTCCATTTCTCTTTTTATTTTTTGCATTTCTTCTTCATGTTTCCTTTTAAGCTCCTCCCTCTCTCTCTTCATGTCTTCATCCTTCTCTTTCAGTATCCTCTCCACTTTCTTCTGTATCGCTGCCTCGGCCTCTTGGAACATCTCAGTGGTGTAGTATCCGCCACCATTGTCTTTCAACATGGCTTCAATTTTCATCAGCAGGTCTGACACTTGTCTACGGTTTTTTGGATCTTTGTTGTTGAAGACGTAGTATCTGCCTCCACAGTCATTAATCAGAGTTTTTACAAAATCAGGACAGTCTTCTTCTATGTAACTTTCAATGGATGTGTCTTCAAGCTCATCTCCTCTGGTGAAGGTAACAATGATGAAGTTTCCTGACTTCTTTCCAAAAATCTCTTTGATCTTTTTCACGGCTTCTTTTTCCTCCTCTGTAAATCGACCGATCTGCAGCACCAGTAAGAACACGTGAGGGCCAGGAGACAACATGCTGATACAGTTCAGAAGCTCCTGTCGAACTTCATAACTGGACAGAGTCGTGTCAAACAAGCCGGGGGTGTCGACCACAACAACAGGACGTCCATCAATCTCTCCTGTGGCTTTCTGACATTCTCTGGTCACAGATTTCCCACTGGCTTTGGATAAAAATTCCTTTCTCTGCAAAATGGTGTTTGCAGTTGCACTTTTCCCATTGCCAGTTTTTCCAAGCAGCACCATCCTGATGGACTGTTCAGTTTGATTTGCATCATCAGATGAAGCCACACTGCTGCGTTTAACTTGCTGCAGTTCAGCTTTAATTTTTGTTACCTTTTCCATCTGAGCTTTGGTGAACATGTCCTTTGTGAAGCATTTGGATCCTTCAGCTCTCATATTTTCCACTTCATGCAGAAGGTTCATGATGGTTTGCTTTTTCTTGATGTTGAGAACAACATATCGTCCTCGATAAGTCTGACAGAGCTTCTGAATGTATTTGTCTTGTCTAACAAAGTTACCAACAGCTGGATCTGTAGGATCTGAGTCCACGGTGAACAGAATCATGGTGAAGTCATCGACCCGAGAGCTGAATGCGTCCTGGATGGTCTCTAACTCTCTCTTGTCTTCATCAGTGAGGGGAGCCACAGGTAGGACCAGGATGAAGGCATGGACACCCTCAGGATCACAGAGGGAGATACACCTGAGTGATTCCTCCATCACTGCCTCCGGAGGTTTTCCATACAAGGCAGGCAGCTCCACCAGGGAAACCCGACGTCCACACACCTCTCCCTGATGTTTAACACACTCTGATGAGTTGGAGACTGAATGAAGCTCTTTCTGACCTAAAATGGCCTTGGCTGCTGACGTCTTCCCTGCTCCTCTCCTCCCACACAGAACCAGGTTTAACGATGGTCTCTCGCTGTCAAACTCTTCAGTGACTGTGAGGAATTTTCCTTTGTTCTGATGTATTATTTTTTCAATCATCTCCATTAACTGTTCATGATCATCTTCATTCATGTTGTAACATCGACCTTCACAATCTTTAAGGAGTGATGTAAGAGCAAAACTTGTCTCCACATGTGTGACGATCACCATCGAGTGTTTAAAGGTGTAGTCACCAAACAAACTCAGGATGAACTTCAGAGTTCTTCTGTTCTCCTCAGTGAAATCAGAAGGTTTCACCAGGAGCAGCAGAACATTTGGTCCAGGAGGACAGAGACTCACACAGCTCTTCATCACTTCATTCATGGCCTTCAAAGACTTACCAAAGAGGTTAGGAGTTTTCACTACTGTAACTGGTTGTCCTTTCCACTCTCCCTGAACAACTTGCCTTGTGTCAGAATATCTTGAAATATCAAAACCTGTTTTCCTCACAATAAAGTTACATAGTGCTGTCTTCTTCGCTGAGCTTCCTCCACAGAGCATAATCCTGAGTGCACATCCTGTAAAGGAACAAACAGACAAACACTGAAAATTACTTTTACTAATTCCTGTAAGCAGTCTGACTGATGTTAGCATGATCCTAAAATGCTTTTCCAACACAAAAACTATTACGAGGTCCTCATCAGAACAACATTTAACTTGAATGGACTTCCCATATTACATCTTTAGTCATACATTCCTTTCTTTGATTAATGCTCCATAAATATTGCTTCTGGTACTTTCTGGGTTACAAAGATGGAGTTTCATAACAAATTCTTATTTTTTCTGGCTTTGTATTAAAATTAAACACGTTGACACAACAAGTGCTACCCAATGTAAAGGCAAGAAACACATTTAAAGACTAAATATTTCCTTTTCTAGATAGTTTACTCTGCGTGACCCAAATTTCTAAACTTAAGCTTGATTTTTTTTTAGGTTCCTTCAATAGACCTCAGCCATAAAAATAACAGTTCAGAAATTATGCTGACTTTTATCCTGTATAGTCAGTGAATTTTGTCTTTTTTTAAATCCTTTTGAGAAAGCCTCCTGACATGTTAAAATAATATTAGGAAGATTATTTTTCCACATTATCTTAAAAAATGTTTTAAACTTACCAACAGATTTAGCATAATGTCTATTAACAGGAGCATCTTTCCTTTGATCAGCGCTGGTGTGATGATAGATGACATGTTTTCCATTGTTCCTCTTTACAATGCATTTTATGTTTTCTAGTAACTCCTCAATGGTGAGGTTTTCAAGCTGCAGTGACATGTTTTTACATCTTTGCATCATGTCCTGTATAGGTGTATGATACATGAGCATATACCCTAAACCTGGACGCCTCTCTCTGGGTGGTGATATCAGAACCAGTGAATGATCAAAGGAATGATCACTGAAGAAGTTCAGGACTCTGCAGAGTCTCGTTTTTTGATGCTCAGTGAAGTCTTCAGGCTGTAGAACCAGCAGGAACACATGAGGTCCAGGATCAGAGAGCCTCACACAGTTGTTCACATGTTCCTTAATTTTGTCTTCTGAGTTGTTTGGATGAAGCAGATCTGGTGTATTTATGAGAACTATTTTTTTCCCTTGAATGTGTCCACTGGCTCTCACACAACGGTCCAGTTCTTCCTCGGGGTTGAACTTGTTCTCTCTGAGTAGGAAGTTCCCCACTGAACTCCTCATAGAACAGTTGTTCCCTAGCAAAACAGCCCTGAGCACAGACACTGAAATGACAACAAATGCAGACACAAATATATTTCTTTTACATCTTTTACATCAATTTCCAGGTTACAGGCCCTACAGCCAAAGAAACTTCAGTAAAAAAAATTGTTGGGTAGAGAAATAATTTTTCAGGTCTGAAAAACAAATTAAGGTCTTTTAAATTTCCAATTTCATCTATGTGATGAAGAGGAATGACTGTTGGTACCTGAATGCTATGTGCTGTAACTGACGTAAGGCCATCATCCTACTGAATCAATGACTAATTGCTGAACTGTAATTATCTTCAATCTGTAAATTTGCAATTTTGTACATTTATATATGACATAACACAACTTCATACAATATAAACAATTTATTTTATTGCATACTCTATGTATTACCACTATGACAGTGTTGCACTTTAAATTCTGATTACACCCACATATAAGCTACAAGTGCTGCAAAAGCACTTGTTTTGCTTTTTAAAATTATTTTCTATATCAGAGTTTGTTATGTGAAGGCTGTGTGCACGCAGGGGTGGTGATATGAAGGACCCAAAATGCAGACTCACAGAAATCAAAGGTGAACTTAAATACAGCTTTAATGCTGAACTCCAAAAAAGTAACAAAACTGAGACTCCAAGGTAAACTTTACACAGACAGAACACACAGCAAAATAAGAGTAGATTGCAACAATGACAAACTGAAACACAGGGCTTAAATACATAGAGGGAGCAATCAGGGAATGGACAACAGGAGGGAAACACAGCTGGGGCAAATCAGAACTGACGAGACAAGGAAGCGTAAACTGAACACACTGAGATAAGACAGAGACCTTCAAAGTAAAACAGGAAACACATAACACAGACTGAACAAAAGACACAGACTCACATGCAGGCACTACAACAGAGGGAACAGAGATGTGGGACCAGGGCAGACACTGACTGGACACGGGGATATAGCAGACAGGGGAGACAGCAACCAAGGATTACACAGAGACAAACCATAAGACATGACTCTAACGAAAACCCAAAGACTAGAAATTATAAATAATATAATAAACTCAAAAACCCTGGGTCCACAACCCAGGCATCCTAACAGAGTTAAGTTTATTCTTTATTTTTGTTGGTCGTTTATTTACATATTTTGTGTGAAGGGAACCTGCAAAGTAAGAATTTAATTGCTTTGAGTAACCACGTGTGTTCTGCGGTGTACATGACAATAAACTTCTTGTATCTTGAGAAATTTTTAAAAAGTAGGTAAAAATAGTTTTTTGTGTGCTCAAGCATGCAAGTAAGAAACATACTTATGTTTGTGGTTGTGATGTGCATGTAGTGAGCTGTTATGTTGTAAACTGTCTTCGTGTGCTTGGGAAAAGAAAGACTATTTTATTGGATAAAATAGTTCTGATTGCACTGGTCAGTGCACTCGGCCAGGGAGGAAAAATCTGTTTCTGTCAATCCAGTGAACCAGCTGTCACCGGGCTCAAACAGGCACTTCTCCACTCTGCTCTTATTTATAAAGTGCCTTACAAAACTGAACATTAAAGCCAATAGCTGGGGTTTCCTGTTTCAGTGCAGCAAACAACATAGAGCCACTTACTGCTAAAGAGACAGAGAGTGAAAGTGGACAGTATATTCTCAGCTTTAACATGAAAGGTTTTAGTGTCCTTATTTTCCTCTGAGTTATTTGTTCTCTTACAAGTTAGCTAACAATAACTAATGTAAGTCTATTAGCCGCAACCAACCCGATGACAGCACTGTTCTGTACTGACAGAAGGTGGCACTAAACATGTTTGTAAAACTTTAACATTAAGCACTTATTTCTTAAATCCAGCTACATAGAGTTACATCTATATTGTTTTTAGAGCAGGGCTCCATGATGTCAATGAGCCTTTATAGATTAAGTGTTTCTGTCCACTTTAAAAATTATGTCCATCACAATCTTTTCTTCAAAAACTTACTGTTGGGTGGTAGAAGTCCATAGCTGCCTCTGCGCCTTTTAGAAAAAGTGCCTTGTTTGACTACAACAGAAAAAAAAAAGATAATTATTATTTATTACTATTATTACTAATATTATTACTATTATTATGGTGTTATGTGACAGCAACTACAGCTATATGCAGATAAGAAAAGCACTTCTTTACAGCTGAAAGCACAACTAGGGTCAGGAGCTTAAAATTTTAGAAAAAAAAAAATTGTGAAATACATCATTAAGGTATCCTACGCAACACATAGAATGTAAACTAGTTAACTAAAGTCATTCAAATGACTTTGTCTGAAAGATTTTGTGTCTGAACATTGTGTATCATGAACCAGTATAAGCTGGATAGCAAACATCTTCACTCTGGTACATGTTTTCTTTAGAGTAGCCCAGACTTGATTCACTTACTCATATTTCTTTACATGTCCCTGCATGAATGGTGCCTGCAAATTTTGCACTAAATTGATAGAGCATTACATCAGTGTGCACATATAAAGTATATTTTGTACATCACTTGCTGCTCAATATTAACCTATAGTAATGTCTTTTCGTGTCTTTGTTCCTGTCTTAAATCAGGAGAAACAGAGAAATTGTTCAATTATTGTGGAAAACTGCTAGCAAAAGAAAGTAACTGACAATTACTTGACGTGTGACAAACTGTGACTTGACTCACCAAATGATTCTGCCATATTGTCACTGTTATTCAACTGTTGACCTCAGTAACTGTTGGAAAGAGATACAATGAATGTAAGATGTTTATGCCATATGTTGGTGCTATGTTAAATGCAGTGTGGTGTATAAACAGGTGGTTAGGGGAAGTGACTGAAGAAACATTCACAAGCCCCAGCAGAATACATCTGTTGGAGGATAAGTATGGAAGGGTTGAGGGTCACCTGATCCAACTCTATGCTTTAGCAAAAAGGAAAGTTCTTGTGTAGAGGAGGCATTCCCCCTCTGTCCCCTTCTGGATACCTGTGCCTCAATTTTATTCTGCAACCTAGACATCCACTTTACTCACACCCTCATAACACATACTTATAGGGCTTTGGGGGTGGGCATGATATACGGCGTCCAGAGTACTGTTTGTATATCCAATGTAACCTATGGGGCCGGTTCCCACCTCTCAATTTTTTTCTCTCAACAGGGCGCAAGATTTTTCCAGTCGAGCTACCAAAATCCATCTCAGCCCCTCCCGTCGGGCTATCATGGAAAGGAAAGATATGTCAATGCTTTTGCATTCTTTCGCAAATGTAGCTGAGTAATTATGTCATCGGCATCGATGAGCCACTGTCAATATGTGACATATTGAAGTTGCGTTTGAATTTGCGCTTGTTTTTTGCTTTCACTTTCACTTTGCGATCGCGCGAACTGTGTATAGAGAGCAGTGTTGGTCAAGTTACTTGAAAAAAGTAATCAGTAACTAATTACTGATTACTTCCCCTAAAAAGTAATCCCGTTACTTTACTGATTACTTATTTTCAAAAGTAATTAATTACTTAGTTACTTAGTTACTTTTTAAAAACATGATTTACAA